AGAGTGTTCTATAATATTTCTGGTTTGTCCTAAAAAAAGTGTTATCTAACGAAATAGAATGGGTTTTCTTAAATTCCACGAAATCAATGGTTAAGAATTTAACTTGCTCTCCAGTGCATTTTTCTCTTCATTCATGCTATTATTTTCACTCATTTTTTATTTTAAAGAATATTTTATTTATTATCAATAAATATTTTCTGATTATATAGATAAATTCACCGAAAGAATTATAGCAACTTAATTAAAATAAATCCACGTGAATGTATCTGTTTAATAAAAAAAAATATTAATAATAAATAAAATGTTTTTTAAGAAAAACTAATAATTCAATTGACATAAAAAATAATAACAGGAAGAGAAAAAAGTAACTCAGAAAATTTAATAATATTTATTTATTATTAAAAGATATATATATATATATATATATATATATATATATTTATCAAACAGATAGATTGCATATATCTTTTTTTTACTTGTAAAGTTCGTATAAGAATATAACATTTATGTAGAGTTCATATAAAAATAAATCATTTATTGTTGTATAAGAATAACTTTTTAAAAATTTAAATCTTAAAATTACCTCAGCTATTTTTTTTAAAAGGGTCGTAGATTTTGTGTAGGAGTTGCGATTACCCCTTACAACTCTCTAAGATGTTTTTCTTCATATTTTTCTTATTTTTTTTAACTGTGTTAAAGAAAAACAAATTCGATTAACTCTAATTAAATGGACCCCACTGTCGGACTGATCGAACGAGACTTGCAATACCCTCGTAACGCCAGTCTATCTTCGGGCTTCCCCCTTTGCTTGCAGATGACGGAGAGAATGTTCCCCCTTGCAGTGGCTGTTGTGTCAGTGAACTTCATTGGTACGGGCATCATTGGGCTAACATTCATCAATTCCCCCCAGAGGTTTTTTTTTTTTTTCCTAAACCAAACTTTGATCCCTTTTGAATTCGAACCCAAACTGCAACCTTCTTAACGTCTGATCTTGGGTTTTGAAGTCTGTGATTGTTAATCAATGGAATTCACGGACTTGATTTGAAATAAAAAACCAGACTCCAATCCAAGAAGTTGCGGATTTGTCTACAGCTCCCCACTTTTTTTTTTTGCTTAATCCAAAATGGAGACGCCCAGAAATCCAGATAATGTTGATTTTGGATTGGGCACAAGCGATCGCAGGTACGCTTATTGGCGCCAATCTTCATTTCACCAACAATCACAAGAACCCAAAACCCCAATTTCTATCATCACGAATGATGCAACAAAGCCTCTGCTTTCACGCACCGTTTCAAGCATTGACATCCCACCGGAGATTGATTATTCTTTTGATTACCAAAACGACTCCATTTTTGAGGACCCAAAGAGGAAACTATCGGATTTGGATTCCGTGCTTTCGATTTTTAGGGTTATTAGGTCTGGGAGTAGACAAATGAGAAGACTTTTCTTGATGATTTCTCTTAATGTTGCGTATTCTACTGCTGAATTGGCGATCGGACTCTTTACGGGCCGTGTTGGTGAGGAAATGAATCAGTTTTGGGTTTTGATTGGTTGTGTTTAGGGTTTTTTTAAAGTAATTTTTTTTTTTTTATGGGATCTTGCTGCAGGTTTGGTATCTGACGCGTTTCATTTGACATTTGGATGTGGGCTTTTAACGTTTTCGTTGTTTGCCATGGCTGCTTCTAGGAGAAAGTCTGATCATGTCTACACTTATGGGTTAGTTATTATTTTGGTTGTAATTATGTTAGCGCGAATTTCCCCCCGATATTGATCGATCTTTGTCTTCAAAGGAACTTATTTTAACTGCTAAATGCCTTCGCCAGGTACAAAAGGCTTGAAGTGTTGGCTGCTTTTACTAATGCTGTAAGTAACATGCAAATTCCTGTAGGATTTTGTGTTGTGGGTGTTGTTGTTTTTTATTTGTGCTATTAGAGATATGATAATCCAAGGTGTTATTGTTGATATATATTTGGTGTATTAATGGTTTGCTTTAGTTGGATAACTTGGGTTTTGTTTATTAAATGATTTAGCCTGCGGGGTTGAAACATCATGAGTGTGGTGCATAGCGAACAGTTATGGTTGGCATGAAAACAATAAGATGTTTAATATATAGATGTATACGATAAATCTTAAAAATGCATTCAGCTCTTTATGCTTGGTTTGTTTTTGACTCGGAGAAATGAGACCTATGTCTTGGCTCAGGTAGTTTAGGAAGAGGGTGTGGTTTTACCTTTGATACTCACCAAATAAAAGAGATGAAGTAAAGTTTTGCTTCTGAGTTTTATGACTTTTTATTGACCCTGGATGTTTCTTTGGCACTGAAGACATGTATCTGATGAAGAACTACTTTTACGTTCTTTAATTAATTCCTTTATAAAATTAAAACTTCATTTCTTTGCTCTAATATCTAGATATTCTTGATTTTGCTGCTTGTGTAGACAGCTGTTTCTTTTGTTCATGTCATTCTCGTTAGCTGTGGAAGCACTTCATGCATTCATACAAGATGAATCTGAACACAAGTAAGTCGGTTGCGCAGGTATTTGGAGCAGTATACTTATTATGCTGGATCCAGCATCATAGATAGCACATACTTGCCAAAAGATAGTTACTATGTATTTAGTGCAGTGCACTTTGTGGCTCATCCTTTTATTTTCATCTTTTACATGGAGATTACAACCCTTTTTACAGGCATTACTTGATTGTTTCTGCGGTGACAAATTTATTGGTGAATCTTATTGGTGTTTGGTTCTTCCGGAATTATGCTCGCATTAATATTGGTAAGTCACTTACTGCACTTTTATATGTCACAGGAAGTCATTTGATGAACTTTAAGCCACATGAAAAGGCTCACATGTACTAGCGCTTATTTGAATAGCATTTTAATCGAGTATAAAGAGTGGTGTACTGTAAAATATGGTGCTTTTCCAATTTGACCCTGGATGGGAATCTTATAAAGAGTGGTATACTGTAAAACATGGTGCTTTTCCAATTTGATCCTTGACGGGAATCTTTGGCATATTATACATAGGGTTATAATGATTGTTACTGTTATAGAAACTGCTTCAGTGGTTTTATAGATTTTGATATTTTTATCTTTTCTTTGGATTGTGTTGCATTTATATTTGCATGCAGTCTACAGAAAAGCAGAAGATATGAATTTCCATTCAGTCTGCTTGCATGTTATTGCAGATTCAATTCGCAGGTATGCTCTCTGAGTCTCTGTGTGTCCTTATTTTTCTTTGCAAAAGCATGTTCCTTTTTTAATTACTTGCATTTTTCATATATCCATGATTGGCTGATTTACTCTTATTGTTTCTCAGTGCAGGCTTGATATTGGCATCCTGGTTTTTGTCCCTTGGGTATTTTGCTTCATCTTTGTTTTTTCACTGCAAAACTCCCCTGTTTACCTCTTTTGTTTTTAAATTCTGTTTCACACATTACAGGGTTGAAAATGCTGAAGTTTTATGTTTGGGGCTGGTTTCCGCTGCTGTCGTTATGCTTGTCCTACCGCTCTTTAAAGCCACTGGTGGCATCTTGCTTCAAATGGCTCCTCCTAGCATTCCATCTTCAGCATTGAGCAAATGCTTGAGACAGGTAAGCTCCCATAAAGGCTTTCATTCATTTGCTATGATCCGAGTGTGAATTTTCAAATAGAAAGGGTGTTTCCAACATTTTGAAGAGCCGATTCTTATACAATACATTTTGGTTGAATTTATCTATCATTACATATAATTCCCTATTCTGGCTAGGTTTCTGCCCGTGAAGATGTTGCTGAAGTTTCTGAAGCTCGGTTTTGGGAATTGGTTCCTGGTCATGTTGTTGGCTCAATTTCACTTCAGGTACATCACTGAAAGTATGGCTTATTTGCTGTCATTGTTGATGTGGCAGGTGGCGTCCTTGTAATACTCTTGAAGTTCTACTTTCTGGTTGTTTAAAGACTGGTAACACAATTTTGTTTCTTGGATGTTGTTAATAGGTGAAGAAGGGGGTGGATGATCGCCCAGTACTACAATCTGTGCATGGTTTGTACCATGATCTGGGAGTACAGGATCTGACAGTGCAAATCAATTATGATTGAGGTTCATTTCCTATATAATTGGTTTTTCTTTCTTTCCTTTTGTTCTCAAGAACAGCCTCAGATTGAAGTCCATCTTTTGCATTCGATATTGTTGTTCTTTTGAAACAATTGTATTACCCATAGAGGGGGATTTTAATCTATAGTCCCCGTACAGAACGGATTTGTGCAAAATAACTTTGCGTCATAGTTATAGTTGATTTTTCATGTTTGTATCTAATGTCTTCACTCATTTCCATTATTGACTGCCTTTTAGTAACAGGTAATTTGATAATTATCATATGCTCACCGACAAATCAGTCATTGCCCCTCCCAAAGTAGTTTAAAGCGTGCGTATATATATATATATATATATATATATATTTTTTTTTTTTTTTTGTTTACCTGGCATATTAGTTCTTGCATATTAAACCGGGCACTTGGCCAAACTCGGGGTCTGACTCCAAGGATTTTTTTTTTTGTAGTTTTTGTTCAAAATAACATTGTTTTATTAAAAAAACTTAAAATAACATCTTTTTGAAAAATTACTAAAATGATGTTGTTTTAGGGTTTGATCTGACCAACTTGTGACTTCATTCTCGGGTTGGATCAAATCTAGGGGTGTTTACAAGGTTGGCTTCATCTATTTGTAGTTCTGAATTTTTTGATATAAAAAGAGATCGAACTGAATTAATTTTGTAAAAGAAATTAAATGAATTGAAATTCTGAGTGTTATGTTAATTCAGTAGGTATGGATATTTCTATCAACAATTGTTACCGAATCAACTGCAAATCAGTCTTCTTCACCCGTCCTCGTCCTAGTTCTTCCATGATTTCCAAGTTAAATGAGACAAACAAAAATGAAAAGGAAGCTGAAAAATCCTGTCAGAAAACTAATTGGTGTCGCGGGGGTATCATCTGGAATCATGTACTGCGATAATGTTGAAACATCCTGAAAGCTTTCAACATTCCAGTAATTAGCTTTCTGATTCAAAGCTTTCCCTGCAAATTTAGATAAAATGGCAATTATAAGTTACAGTCATTACTCATTACACTGACCATGCAGATAAACTTTAATTGGCCAATTATAATTGTATCGCATGAAAAAGATTAGACGAAAAGGTCCAATTCCAAGAAAATATGTGGTTGTGTCAGATTGTTAGATCATGGTCAAATTTGGTTAGGAAATTCCTTGACTAACAGTAACAGTTAAAGGCTGGGAAGACCTTTAAATTAGATATGTTTTTTTAGTATTTTTCCAATTTAATTTCGGAATTTAGCTTTTTTTCGGTTTTAGCACTTATTTTTCCTATTTAATTGGGATTCCGATTTCCTTTAACAAGGTTGATTTTAGAGCTATTTAAACAGTTGTAATAAGGGTAGAATAATTATTCAAACAATAAAAGAATATGAGAACGATTCATGTTCAGTCATTTCATTTTATCTTCTTGTTCTTTGATTTCTAATTTAAGAGCTTCGTCTGCGTCAGAAAACATATTCCTCAAGAACCTGCAGCAAAAAAGTATATTATAAAGGGGTTACTATTTCTTACAATCCCTACCTGGAACGCAAAAAGTCCTCCATCCACCGATTAAAACCAAATCATACTGATGGAAGAACGATATTTTGCTTCTCTGACTTGGTATTCCTTAATTCATCCTCCGTGATATCCTTAATGAGACTTATTCCATTCTTTGAAAATGGAGGCACACTGGCCACATAAAAGCAGGCCTTTCAGCCAGCACTTCTGGTGGTGGTCCTTCCCGTGTAAGAACCTGCAAGAGTTGTCCTTGAGGGCCTCTTGTTAGGGTTTGGATGGCAGCAAGCCACACCCAGAATAGAAGATTTGTTTACTTCTCGTGTTTGTGCTTCCCCTATAAGAACTTTCTGGTGGCGTCTGATAAACTATATAGAAAAAATGTCACTCAAAAAGTAAGTTGAGTTGTGTTTAAACTCACGGAAGGTTGGAAACTAAAAAATCAAGGCCATGTAATTGTTGCTAGGATTAAAGATGTGGCCGACAGGGGAAAAGCACAGCTAAGATTAAATTAAAATGACCTTGGCAGAATTATTGAAGTCACATCTTTGTATACAAGAAAAACAGAACATCTAGTAGTTGTAGTCACAAAAAATCTACTAATTGAAGTCGCATTATGCTTTTTAACATAGAATCAAGAACTCTGTATTGCTAGTAATCAATTTTTATTTTTATTTTTATTTTTATTTTTCGAAGCAATCAACAGTCAATCACCATAAAATATCACTAGAGATAAATAATATTTAGCCAGTTTCTTTGTCAGAAACTGGAGAGTGTTTCGAAGGATAGATAAATGGATTGTAGATAAACAAATGGAAGAAATGGAGGAAACAGGGATTAGAGAATTTGAATTGTTGCAGAGAAACCCAGGAATTCTTAGACCTAAACTGACAGTGTCACATACTGAAGGGTGAAATTATAAATATTATTGAAATATATACACTCAGCCAACTCTTTGTATAAAAAAGGGACTCAATTAAGCATTCTCTAGTCCTCTTGTGATAGAACATGAAGTGAGAAAAAACCCTGGGAATCAGAAATCATAATAGGTTGACCCAAATTTGACACAAAACTAGTTTACAAACCCTTCATTAAACTAAAGTAGGATGGAACTGAAAAGTGACGACACAGGAGACGTTTATCTTGACATTATCAATGATTTTGTGCACACTTTCACTGGTCATACCGGTATGTCTTGTCCAATTCTCAGCACTTCAGAATATAACTGAATTATATGGATTGTAACGGGGGTGCTTAAGGGGTCTTACTTATACTGACTTAGCATTATGGTTTTGTTCACAGGTGAGCTTTCCGCAGTTGCCTGCAACCCAATAGATGCTACCATAGTTGCAACTGGGGGTGCAGAGGATAAAGGCTTTCTCTTGAAGATTGGAGATGGAGATTAGAAAGTGGAGTTAAATGGTATGTCATTATTCTGTTACGCATTATGGTTTGTTGAGTACAGGATTTTTGTCAGGATAATGATTAGGGTTGAAGACTTTGAACTAATATATGTAAATAGGTGGCTGGGGATCTTTTTAAGACAAGACAGTTTTAATTCTGTCGTTTTATAATGGTAAAGATTTTCCTTTGAATTGGTGTTATTTAGGGTTTAGCCATATGTCTTCCTAGTCCCAATCAACACTGATTATCTGGATTCTTTATGTATTTCTTATCTTCAACAAATTTTCTCTATGCATTTCGTTGCAAGTCATGACAATTCTGTTTCTTGTTTAGCCTTTAGTTCTGATAGGCAGTTGCTTGCATATGGTGGTGTTGGTGTAACAGTTCGAATATGGGACTCGTCAGGTCATCACATACACACTTTATTTGTTTTTACTGTGGTTTTCTTGAGCATTTGTCTTATGAAGACCTTTCCCAGTGGATCAGGTGGCATCCAAGACGTCCTTTTACGTTGGCGAGTTCTACTGATTGCGTTGCTTTGATGTGGGATTCTGAAAAATGTGTCCTCTTCAATACATTTTACGGTCATGGTAGATCTGTGACATGAGGTGATTTTACACCTGACGGTATCTTCCTACTCTTCATCTTGGTGTTAGTTGTTAAACTTCTCTGTCGCACTTTTTCATAACTTGTTTCCCTACTTTTGTGTTTGAGGAAGATCATATTATTTGTACTGGTTCTACTGATGCAACTCTGAGGATATGGGATGCAATAAGAAGCGAGGCAATTCATGTTATAGGAGGTATGCTATTTTCCTCAAATATTTGATTGTTGTTGAGATGTTATTTCAACAAACATGATTGCACCTAGCTCCTTTTGTTTTAATATTTTCCTTTTCTGCACCTGGCTCCTCTTGTTTTAATTATTTCCTTTTCTTTCTTTGTTTAGGCAGTGAATTTTGCCATTGATTCCATTTCAACTTCCAATTTCCTGTTCCATTGCCAAGCCAGGAATAAGCCCCTTGAGATTTCCCATAACTGAAAACAGGGGTTGCACCAACCTGCTTGCTGATTTACAAACTACTAGCTTGCTATCACAAACTTTGTAAAACTTTTTAAATTGGAAGCGTTTGAGCTTATTTTTATTCAGCGCTTTGTTTCGTTCCTCAATGCCCTTAGGAACCTTTTTGACCTCAAGAACACAATGTCTAAGCTTCCCTCTTCAACTCTTGAACAAAATGATGCTGATTTTATGTATTATCATAAGCTTTATTGTTTGCCTTTTAGGTAGCCTCTGTCTCCCGACCAACTCGCTAAATATAATCTGTAAATTTAACTGAATTGTGCTCTTTACCACAAGGATTGTGCGTGTTTGAAAAATATAACGTCTTCCCCAATCCTTCTCTTCTCAACCTGTGGTTGTCATCACTCTTGGAACCACCCGAAGCTCCCTCGAATTGATAGACATTCATTTATCCATTCTCTTGCACACAAATATCATGTATTAGCTCCAACTCATCAAAATTCTCACCTTCCCGCTCTACTAGATTCACTCCATGCTGTAGACAGGCACAAGACTATGGCCCTCTTCCTCGCAAGTAAAGCTACTAAACCATGAATTTCTACTCACTTTACAGTAACTGAAGTACTTATTGTTTACAAGAGCTATGCATCATTCTGCACAACAGCTTTAATTGCTCCAATCAAATTTACTCCAACTTCCTACATTAGATCAGGTAACCGCATCAATTTCTCAGCTGGTTCTCACTGTAGCAATATCTATCACAACCCGATTTTCAGATTCATGATCGGCATATGGGTAAGGTTTTTCTTCAAGGTTCATATCTATGTGAATCCAAACTTACATACAACCTTAGTTCAACTTACCATTAACAACAAACTAATTTCATAATATAACTTAATTGTCTTAATACAAGAGTTTATATAAATTCAAAGTTTTGAAGCACTAACTAGACATAAAAGAAAGTTACAAATTTCAACAAAAGAACAGGATCAGAAGATCCAATAAAAGTGACCTGCTATCAAGCTATAAGCCTGAAAATGATAATTAATAAGAATGTGAGTTCAATAATTCAGTAAGTAGATAACATTCAATACACACACAAGGTAATATAACAATGATGAATATATATACAATTACAGCTTTAGGTTCTTATAGAAATGTTTCTTAAATAGGCCATAACAAAAAAAATCATATGGTAAAACTCATCAGAAAATCAAAATATAATGAGCATAAAGCTCCGTACTGTGGGATGATCAGTCCACACAGGTTGATGATTCCGCTAACCAACTAGGGTTCAGATACGATATGCACAAAGACTAACACTACCCTGTTAGCATGAGTATTCTAATTGACATACCATATGTTTATAATCATAATCAAACAAACATATTCATATCTCAAGGCTCAACTTATGACATCAATCAAATGAGGAGCTATCAATTCAGAAGTCAATTCAAATATATACTGGTTCATATTAAGAATTCAGATTCAACAATTGATCATGCTTTTTCATAACAAGGATAATAATCATCATATATATTATCAAGAAGCATGATCCAATTTATATTAACAAATCAAATATTTATAATATTTCTCATGCATATAAAAAATTATCTACCCACCTGACTCAAAGCAAACGGTACTCAAAAGTTGATACTAAATGAAATCCTATTAACGTCCTACCGGTAGAATATCAGGATTATCTGAATACAAAGAAGACATATTCAAGAATGACTTAAAAGAACATATAACCTATTTAATACACTTATCTAATGGTATATTCCATAACCCTGTATGTTTTTAGACTAAACTAGTTATTTTTCAAAAAACCCAAAATTTAACAGTTTTCCCAAAGTCTAATCCATAATAAAAAATAATAAAATTGATAATAATTCACTAAATAACCCTCAATTATTCATCAAACCAAATCTGAAAATGCTAATATTACAACTGGGGACTAATATGGAATTTATCATATTTTTAAGGGTCAAATTGTAACTTTTATTGAATTGAATGACCAAACTAAAAATATCATAAATCCATGACTACATTGAAATTATGACCATATTTAATCCACAATTCTGTTCAGAATATCTTGTTATGCTCCAGGGACCATTTTGGAATTTTCTAAAAAAATTTAGGGTCAAATGGAGGACCAAACTAAAACTATCATAAATCCATGAATATACTGAAATTATGAACATAATTAATCCTCAATTCTGTCCAGAACATCCCATTATGCTCCAGGGACCATTCTGGAATTTTACCAAATTTTTAGGGTCAAATGGTAATTTTTGTCAAATTAGAGGACCAAATTGAAAGTTTTAAAATTTCATAACTATATAGTAATTCTGCCCATAATTCATACAGGGACCAATCTATAATTTTCCAAAGTTTGGGGACTGTACAATAATTTTCACAAATTGAGGGACCAAATTGAATTTTCATCATCTTCAACCTCCAACCCATAATTTCAACAGAAACCTACTGTTCTTTTCAAATTTCTAACTTAAAATTCACCATTTGCACAATTTATAACTTAAAATCATCACAATCTTCCATAGTCAACTAAATAATCAATTACATACAACAATCAATACCTAACATTCAATTTAATTCATCAATTAAACCCAAAACATAAATTTTCAAAACCCTAACATTCATCAAAATCAAAATTTAAAGTTCAATAACACATATTTATATATTTAATAACCTAAATATTACCTTTAAACTTATTTTCTCCAACTCCTTTTTATTTCCCTTCTAATTTTCTTTTTTTCTCTTCTTCTTCTTCTTTCTTCCTTCACTCTCACGGTTTGCTCTCAAGTACACAGCTCCTTTTTATGTCTTTTTTATTTATACTTATCAACTATTGTTCAATTACTACATTACCTCTCATTCATTTATACCCTCTTTTTAAGCCTCCAAAAACTTTGTTACCTTTTCCTATCTTTTTACAACTATCAACTTTCATATGCCCTTAGCCTTTAGGGTTGGGCATGATAGGTGAATTTTAGTTTAATTTTTACTGGGGTTTTATTTTAGATTTAGAAACTACTTTCAAGCCATAACTTCAGGAACTCAAGTTTAATTCTGAGATAGTTGGATTTGGTCAGGAATTAACTCTGTGCAACATCCTAACTTGCTGAATACCACGGGGGAGGCAAAGGAAAAATTCTACAAATGTGAAGATTTAGATGCGGCTAAGAATTGAAACGGAATGCTTGTTATCAAGAATTCTATTCTATATTTGTGTTAATTTATCTAAATTGCTTAATCAATCTAGAACCATGACTAAATGGAGTCTTGTTTGCAGTATCATGACACATCTATCATCTTTGAATACTACCGTCTTTCTCATTATAATGAGCCCATATTTTGCTCGGCCTGACCAGGTAACTATCACGCCGAACCTAAAAGACCATGTAGTTTGCTATTTGCATCGTTGGAAAATGGAAGCATTTATCCAAGAAAAAATGGATTTTGCGTCCATTCTCCAAGGAGGTACAGTCAAATCTGAAAAACCAACTTTTCCAAACTATTTTTTCCATGGCCATGACATATGTGGAAGAGAGAAAATCGCATTCAACTACATGGGGTTCTGTCAAGCTCCTTTCATCAAGGCCTGCAATTTGGAAACCAGGCAAAAGATGAAATTTTCACCTTTTCTTCCCCTTCAAGGAAATAAATAAAAAAACATTAGAGGTAGGGTTTGCATCAATTTCACAACCTTTTAATTATTGGAATTAACCTTTATGGCATATGTATAGGATGAAAACATAGTGATGTACACGTTGAGAGAATACTGGGTTTAAGGTTTCTGTGTTTTTTACATTGAAGAATAAAAGGAGGCATGAATTTAAATCAAGGAATATTATTGGTTTCCAATATAGACAGGTTTGCCTAAATTGAGTTTTCCTGCAAGTTCTTGCAGATTTCATTGACAGGTTTTGCTCTCTCCAATGTATTTAGTTTCCTTTGCGCATGCTTACTTGCTTTCCAGTTGCTTTCTTCTTATGTATCCAAGTTAACGTGATGTATATTCCAGTTAACCTGAGGTTCATTTTCTGTGTTACTGGTCTTCTTTTCTTGCTATGTTCTCCGGAACAGCCTTAGATTGAAATCCATCTTCTAGTTCTTATTATTGTTTGCCACGATAAAGAATTTTATTACCCCGTAGAGGTTGATTTTGAATCTTTATTCCCCATATAGAACGGTGAATTACTGCAGAATTACTTCATGTCGTGTCTCTGATGATCTTGACTCTTTGGTCTTCATTTTTTTCGTTACTACGAGTCCATGATATTAATAGCCTTGCCACCTCGATATCCTTTCATAGTTAAATGGGGCTGAGGGGAGTAATCAGTCAAGGACCCCTCCCACATTAGTTTTAGAGCATTGAAATGTTTTGCTTATCGGCAAATTACTTGGTTTTTTTACCTGCAGCTTTTGTTTATATTATGTCAAAATAAGGTGTGCAAAAGGCCAGCTGGGTATGACAACTTTAGTTTTCTTAAAATTTTGTTATGAAAAAAATTCTATTGAAATAAAAATCCTTGTCCAATATATATTGCTTGGTGATTAAAACTTTGATAACATACAAAAAAAGAACATTAAATTGATCACCAAGATATGCCATCGTTGGCTCGCCATAGGGATTTGACATTTCAGAAAACATCTTCCTAGGAATTATGGTGAACCTGCAGCTAGTTTTCCAGCACTACGTACATAATTTGACGAAGAAAAAAATAAATTTATTGAAGTGCTGCTATTTCTTAACAATCATTGCCTGGAACACAGCAACGTTATGGCTAGATATATATCTACTACTAAGTGCATTACTGACTAAAACAAAATCAGACTGATGATCGACATTCTCCTTCGATCCTTTGGCATTTGATTCATCTCCCTGAGATTTCTGAAAATGGAGAGAGTTCGCCTCCAATGATAGAGTTGCCCCATTCTTTGAAGGATGGAGGCTTGGGCGGCCACATAAAAACAGGCCTTTCAGCTGGCACGTCTGGTGGTGGCGCTTCCCCTGTAAGGACCTGCAAAACAGTTTTCATGGAGGGCCTATCGTTTGGATTTGGATGGCAGCAGGCCAACCCCAGAATAAGCACACACTCCATTTCTTCATTTTTGAATATTCCATCCAATCTGGGGTCTGCACCTTCGAGGATCGTTCCCCTTCTGTAAAGTTC